TCTAGGCGGGTACCAGTCCAACCAGTCTGAGTCTAGGGCCTGTACGGGCAATATCAGAGTCTGCAATGATGTTTCCCTCCGAAAGGGAGGAGGTACCGGTTGCTTGGAGGCCGCACGACCTAGGAAGTCACCGCCCAAAAGGCAAGCAGGCCACAATATCTCCAGGAGCGAAGTGGTCCTCATCATTCTTTGGTGTGCAAGTTTGGCGACACACTGCTTGGAGCACTGGCTGGAGCGATGCTGCTTGGAGCAGCGCTGCTGGGGAGGACAGAGCGCCCAGCTCTCCACCACGGCTATGGTGGAGGAGCACAGGCTGGAGGAGCAGGGAGATGTTACATGCTGCGCCTGCAACGGGCTGCACGGGCCATTTTCAGGCCCGTGTCGTTTTCAGCCCGAAAGTCTGAAAACAAGGGCCTACAGGCCCTGTGTCGCTTCAGCCTAAATCAGGGCCTTTCCGGCCCTGAGTCTTTTCAGCCTAAAACTGAGGGCCATTTTCAGGCCCTCATAAGATCGACCTGCCCTGAAACTCAGGTGCCAAACCAGGGTTTTAGCACAGGCCATTTTGGGCCTGTTTTCAAGACAATCCTTGGTTGAGCTTCAACGCCAGGGTCTGGCACATTTTGGCATTGGCAAGAGCAGCCTCCTGGACGGGCCAGCACTATATAGGACTGGCCCTCCCTGCAGGCTGCAGGTAGTTCCTAGGTACTTCCCAGGCACTTCACGTGCAGTTCAGGAGGCAGGAGGTAGTCTTCAGGATTCGGCAGAGGCACTCTGGAGGAGCGCTGCAGGAGGAGGAGTAGCGCTAGCAGTAGTCTTCAGCGCTGGGCGCTTGTAGCGTTAGCAGTAGTCTTCAGCGCGGGGCGCTAGTAGGAGCTAGAGTAGTACTGGAGAGAGAGAGAGATTGGGCGGAGGCCAGGGAGACTTACCTGCAGCGCCAGAGCTCCAGCTTCGTCTTCGAGGTACCTGCGGCACAGCGCCTACCTCACAGGTTAGTACCTGGCACGTGAGAGAGAGAGAGAGTTCCTCTTCTTCCTCTTCTCAGTCCACCATCTCCCTCTCACCCTCTCGCTATCTGACTTCACTGCATCAGCAGACTACAAGAGAGAGAGAGCTTGGTGACATTTGGATCCAGACTCGATGTTGGGCTTCAGACACGAGGGATTATCTGGGACTTGTAACGAAGACATGGTGTTGACGACTTTCCCATCTCCCCCAGGACCTGGCGCATTCTTCCTGTGTGTAGCGCCAGGCCTCCTTCACACCTTGTGATGAAGATGATGTATGTTTAGTCTGCATTGCAACATTGATTGGGCTCGTCATTAGTATTTTAGCATTCTGCTGCGCTCTCTTGTTCTACGCGAGGGAGGTCAGTCCCGGTCAGGTCAGGACTTGTATCTAAGTCTTCCCCTGCGCTAAAAAGCACCATTTTTGTATGTATCAGAGATGTACACTGCTTGTTGAGATTTCACTTGCACCACATTGTCCATTCAGTCCTTTTCATCACATTGCTGATCCTCGGTTATTTATGTACATCGCCCAACTGGGCATGTAACAGTTGGTGCCGGAACACCGCACGTGAATCAGGACAAACTCATCTGACACGTGTGTGGGGACTAATTACTTGAGTAGTCTTGATTTATTGATTGATTGATTAGAGCATACTAATTAGCCCCCAAAATCACGATTTTACAAGGACTATGAGTGTGAGCGATATACATAAAACCAAGTTGCGAAATCACACAGCTGTCCCAGTAGTCGTGTCCCAAGCAGAGAGTACAAATGCACCGAGAAAACCATCCATATAGAGCAATACAATGAAGTAATGAGCCAATGTTCATGCCCGTARGCCACACCAACACAGTATCCAAAGTCGCTCTGCTCTGTCTGGCGCTCAGCGCCCAGCCTACTCTACAAGACTATCCTACCTACAGCTGGTTCACGCAACAGGATCACTTCGACTCAGGAAGACCACATGACTGCCAACACCTTCGCCAACCTCTCTTCATGTACCAGGTATGTAACTCGTCACCCTCAATCAGACCTTGATTACCCCACACAGCGCCTCCTTCCCTGAAGACCACCTGATCATCTGCTGTACCCCCTGGCGCCCAGCAGCCTGGCTATGACTGCCTGCGCCCCGCTGCCCTGCAGCGCCCCACTACACCTCTCACGCCCCGTCAGCGCCCTTGGCAGCAGCGCAGCATCAAGCGAGAGCGCAGCAGCACTTCCGCATTGCCAGTGCTGGCCAGAATGCCTGGCCTGGGCTGCCTCATTCCTTTTGTGGAAGTGGCAGCCCCTTGGATGTTGCATGTGGCCTGGCTGGAAGCTTCCAGTAGCTTCCGGTTGGGTCCCAGACCCTGCACCCAGGCCCGAGACTACAGTTGAGGGCTTGGGCCCTTTGCAGTTAGGCACGACCTGAGTCTCCTGACTTGGGCTGTTTGCTGCATCTGTGCAGGGCTCCCAGGCAGGTGTGTTGGCACTACTGCTTTTGCGGAGGCCGAAGGCCTGCTTCCCAATGTATCGGCCCTGCTTTTTGTATGTGTGCCCAGGCGCAACTGTCACGGCCTAGGCCAACTGTATGACGCAGCGTTGTGAGGCTCATGCGTCTTCCCAACCAACTGGCGTGCTGCGAGAGCCTGAATACCCACATATGGAAATGTCGAATTTTGCCTTTGACGAATATTCAGGCCCGCCTTCAATTAGGGCGGGCACTTGGCTTGCTGGGGGCCTTAGCCCAGAACAATGTGATGTCTGATGGGGCCCCTTGAGGGCTTGTTCCTCACATTCCATCCCCCTTAGCTTCGAAAGTCCGCTGAGATGCTTCATGCTGATGCCTTCCCTTTCAGTTTCTTCTCATAATCTGCCACGATCGGAGGAGCTGTCTTGACAAGTTCCTCCTTTGAAATCCATCGATCTTCCTTCGGATCTGTATGATGCCTGAAATGTACTATGTATTCCCTCGCAGGTTTGGGAGGTCTTCCCTGCCAGGTGGCTTCGGAACAGGCGTGTCTCTGTGATTCAGGATGTCGTCGACGTCCACGTGGCCATCCATGGTTGGGGGCAGCATAGATCTCCGTGATGGGAACTGTGTTGTCTTAGCGAAAGGTGCAAGCTTGGAGGCGTGGAAAACAAGGTAAGTGCGTAAGTGACCAGGGATGCGAATGACGTACGAGGGACCATCCAAATCATTCCCCATTATGTCTAAGACTTCCCAGGGATCGAAATACTGAGGCATTAGTTTCCTAGAGATGCCAAACTCCTGTTCCAACTCGCTAGCCTTGACCCAGACACATTTCCCTACCTGAAATGTGGAATGTCGGCGACGTTTGTTCTCAGAAGCAATCAGAGCTTCCTGAGATTTCTTGATATGTTCAACAGTCTGCTGCGACAATTTCTCATACTCGACACCAGGAGTTGCAGCAGGTTGGTTTTCAGGCAGGACTAATTTCTCAGAGCAGATCTAGGCTTCCACCCCAGATGCGGTTGATTAGGACTAATGACGGTGGTGTTGTGTACAGCGTTGTTGTTCAGGCTGGTAATTTTTCATTCTAGTCATCCTGGCTGGGCTGGATGTAATGCCTCAGCAGATGCTGCTCAGCAGATGCTGCACCACTCGGTTCATTTCTTCAGCCTACCCATTTGCTTCGGGATGATTCCCAAAAGTCATCTGAAGCTGGTTGCCCATCTGTTCAGCGGCCTTCTTCCACATCTCGCTTGTGAAACGTACATCTCTGTCACTGACGATCGTTTTGGAAGTCCAAAGTCACGCACCCAATTGTCCATGAACAACTTGATGACGTGCTTAGTCCTGGCAGTCTCTGGCATGGCAATTAGTCTAGTGTACTTAGTGAACCTATCCACTATGTCGAAGATGTGCCTCTTGCCATTCTTGCTGGTCACGAGAGTGTCCATGAAGTCCATGGAGATACTCTGCCCTGGGCCAGCAGGAATGGGTAGAGGGTTGAGTAACCCAAGAGGAGCTTGAGTCCGCGGCTTGTCCCGTTGACAGACTTGACAGGTCTGTACGTACTTCTTTGCATCATCCAACATGTTGGGCCACCGAAATCACTGTACTAAGTTAGCACTAGTCTTCTTATAGCCGAAATGTCCCGTTGCGTCATGGCATTCTCCTAAGAACAAACTACGCAAATCTTCCTTAGATGGAAAAACTAATCTCTTAAACCCTGCCTTCTCAAGAAAGAGTAACCCATCCACCATCACAAACTCATCAGTGGTGGCCTTGTCTTTAGCCTGAAGTTTGTTGATGATGCCCATCGTGATGGGATCTTCTTTGTAGGCTTCCTCCATAGATCGCGTCACGTCCTCAGATAGGCCAAACTCATAAATCAGCGCACCCAGGTAAACTGCCCTTCGAGAAAACGCATCTGCAACCTTGTTGTACTCTCCCTTCACGTAGTTTAGTTTGAAGTCATACTGATCTATGACTTCAATCCAGCGTTTGAGTGCATTAGAGAGAACCGCTTGTGTCTTGATCCACTTGAGGGTCTGATGGTCAGTTCTCAAATAGAAGAACCTTCCTAACAGATAGTGCCTCCAGTGGACAAGTGCCTTGTAGAAAGCGTAGAGTTCCCTATCGTAGGTGGACTTTGCCAACTTCTTTGATAGCATCCTTCTGCTCATGTACTCGACCGGTCTCAACTTTTTCCCTTCCTGTTGAGCTAGCACTGCGCCAATGCCGTATCGGCTTGCGTCAATGGTTACAACAAATGGCCTTTGTGGGTCGGGTACCATGAAAACCTCATGGTGCGTGAGAGCATGCTTCAAACGCTTGAAAGCTGCCTCACACTCGTCAGTCCAGTCCCATGGTGTGTCAAGTCGAGTTAGATCAGTCAAGGGAGATGCGATCGTACTATAGTTCTTTACGAAGTTGCGGTAATAACCACACATTCCCAAGAATGATCTGACCTCAGTCACAGACTGGGGTCGTGGCCAGTCCCTAATGCTAGCCACCTTCGCATCTTCGGGCCTAATTCCGTCTTCATGACCCAAGTACAAGATTTGAGTGCGACCGAACTTGCATTTCTCTGCGTTTATCTTATACTTGTGTTGCTGGAGGAGTGAAAGTACTTTGTCTACACGCTGAGCATGCTCCTTGATAGTTTTACTAATGATAAGTATATCGTCGAGATACACGACAACGAACTTATCTAAGAAGTCATGGAAGATCCTATTCATGGCGTGCTGGAATGTACCCGGTGCATTGCAAAGGCCTAAGGGCATCACTACAAAATCGTACAGACCGTACCTGGTATGAAATGCGGTTCTATGTCGGTCCTGTGGTCTTATGGCAATCTCATGGTAGTCGGATTTTGAGTCTATCTTTGTATAGTACTTACATCCCTGCACCCTATCCAATAGGTCGTCGATGCGTGGTAAAGGCTCTGCGTTCTTAACGGTAACGGCATTGAGGCCTCCATAATCAATGCACATCCTTAGTGTTCCCCCTTTCTTTGGAACAAACAGGACTGGTGAGCCAAAGGGGGAAGTGTTAGGTCGTATCCAACCCTTTTCTGTGAGCTCTTTCAGTTGCCGACGAAGCTCGTCCAACTCGGTCGGAGCCATTCTATAGATTCTCCCTTTAGGTGTCTTGCTACCTGGGATGATCTCTATGGCATGGACAGCCTCCCTGTCTACGACTCCCGAGGGCTCCTCGAACAGATCAGGGTACTTAGAGACGATGGTATCTATCTCTGGGGGTGTTTTAACGACCTCCCCTTTTGCAGAGACATAGACTAAGCATATTCCTTCCTCTTGGTTCTGTTTATAGTAGTTATAGAAGGCAGATGCCCATAAGCACCCATAGGAGTCTATTAACCTACTGGCTTTATACTTGGCCAGTCTAACGGTTCTCTCATTAGGCAACTCGTGCTTCAACACCTTCTTGTCCCAGTCGAACTCGGGCTTGGCAACCTCGAGGTAGTACATGCCCAATAACATATCAAAAGGCAACTCGTTGCTCACCAGGAATGATATCTTATGGTTTATCTCTCCTCCTGGGTAGGAGAAGGTGCAGACTACATTTTTAACATAGTCCTCCACCATCATGCGCTCTTTGTTGGCCAAAGTAGATGCTACCGATCTACTAAGGCGCTGCACCCGGTCCTTTAGGCACAGTCTGTCAACGCAATCGCGACTTATGAAGTTTCGCGTGGAGCCAATGTCTACGAAGGCGCCGCACTTGCGACCACCCACACCAACTTCCACAACGAAGTGCACCCCTCTAGGACCTCTACTCAGTGCCACCCAGGACTCACAAGGGTCCTTTGCTGACCACTCACCTTGAAGGTCCTCTAAGGCTTCAGACACATCCAACGTACAGAGTATAGTTGGGCCCGGATGCGTCTGCGGGGTGACTAAGGAGTCTGTAGCTTTGGCCAACTCTTGAACGGGGGAGGGTACATCACCCGCTTCAACAAGAGTAGAAGCAGCTACATCTTCTACCGGCCCTAAGTGTTTCCCGAACTGGAGCTCGTAGAGGCCCCAGCCCGAGAAGAAGGAAACCCACCCTTAGAAGGGATTTTCTGCGAGACCTTCGGGTTCTTACATTTAAACTGCATATGGTCGTACTCGATGCAGTTTATGCAAGCACCACACGACCAACGATCTCGCCACACTTCCTGATCCAAGCCTGCTCTAACCCAAGCAGCTATCTTGTTTGGGTTAGCGGCCTGCCCCTGACTCCTTTGCTGACCGCCCTTACTGCGACCTGCTGCCTTAGTCTTAACTACTGCGGCGAGGTTGCTACCCTCAGCACTCTCCTCGCCGACTAACTCTGCACCCTCCACAAGTTCAAAAACATCATTGATTTCAGTTTGATTCCCTTCGGAATCAACCATCATCAATCGACTACCCTTCTTCTTCCATTCTTGTGGAGTCTTCTTCTTCCTCCCGTCCGTAGAAGGGGTTTGAGCACTACCCAGAGTAGCCTCTAAATCTAAGGCCTTTTTACTGAATGTCTCAAGGTGTGATACTCTAAGCGAGCCTCGCTGGCCAGTAAGTTCTTGATGTCTGTGCGAAGACATCTCAAGAGCATGGTCAATAAGACCTGTGGATTGTACTCCACTCCTGGGACCACGATCAGGCGCTCTACGGTTGTGGTAAGTTCTCGCACCGACTTGTACTTTCTAGCATCAAGCTTTAGAAGCCCATCAGTGGCAATCTGTGCCTGCTGAGGGTTGTGCCATCGAGCCTCCACTAAGTCCATAAGGCTCTCCAGGGTGTGGGTCTACGCCCAATCACCCATGTTCCTGCCGAACCCCTTTGAAGCTACCAATCCATTAAGCCAGCGAGTTGCTGAACCCTCTAGGTAGGATGAAACAATAATCACTTCCTTCTCTACCAATGTCCTCTTTGCCCTCACCCACACTAGCACCGTTCTCAACCACGTGTCGAGAGCCTCTTCCTTCTTGTCTCCTGAGAAGGTTGGAGGTGGTTTCATGGGTGTCATAGGATACCAAGGAAATTGTTGTCCCGCTGGCAAGACAGGTGGCGACTGTGGTGTAGCACCAGTCGCTGGACTGGAAAATGAAGAACCAACAGTCTGAGATAGGGCTGCTGCTGATGTACCACTTGGTGGTGGTCCGGACTGAGCGGCATAGGGGCCTGTCGTCGCTGAGAATGGCAACGATGGCAAGACTGCTGGCCTGATCCCTGGCCTGTGCATGGCGTTCAGGATCTGGTCCAAGGTGTCCTGGATGGTATCCTGTTTACTGTCCATGTATGCATGCATGAACAGGATGCTCACCTTAAGAATCTTTTCATTATTGCTAAGGGTCGAGTCATCTAACCCCTCTAGTGCAGCCTTGTCTGCCTCCCTACCCTCTAGTCTGACACTTCTGTCTCTAATCTCTTTCTCTCTTTTAGTAGCCTGCCTGAGTTCCTCCTCTAGCCTCAAGTGAATCCTCTCTACCTGCTGGAGCTCCATCTGCTCCCGGGTGTGTGGAGGTGGCGAGCTGAACTGTGAACCCGCCATCTGAATAGTGCCAGTTCCTGACGTACTGGAGATGGACTGTGAACTGGTCGCATGACCAGTAGGGTTTGCAGCAGAAGTGGCTGAAGAGGTAGCCATTGCTACCGCGCTAGCTGCTGCTGCTGCTAACGCGCGTTCAGCCGCTGCTGCTGCCTGTCTCGCAGTCTCAACCCTAAGCCTTCTTTCGTCTCCTGGTAGTAGAACCTGGGACACAACGGGTATCCTGCCGGTGTCCCGTCGTGTCTGCCTCCTATCGTCAGATCTATCCTCCCCATCGTTCATGGGCTAGGCAGACGATGTCTGCACTAATGTCCTCTTTGGGACCTACCGCAGCATACGTCTGACCGGTTTTAAAAATAAATAAAATGATAGATGCCTGGCGAGTTACCTAGACTACTAGTCAAGCGGCATCAACAACACCTGCACAAACTGTATACATGTAGTCTACCTCTATCTTTGATTAGTTTTGCACAAAAGCTTTAAGGAGAACTGACTATGGTAGATTACAGTCCTACTCTAGGCTGTCTGTTAGGTGTTAGCAGTCTGTCAACCAACTAACCATGATAAAAATAAACTACATTGAGCAGATGTATGCACAATGGATAATATAGTGATTAACAGTTGAGTTCACAATTGGAATCCCTTGCCCTGTATCCAACATACCTATGAGCATCATCAAGCTGCGGTGTCTAAGGTGTGCAACCATGGCCCACCCCTGTGCCCAAGAAGTATGCTTATGACCAGCCTGCCCTTTATTTACCCTCGCGTGCAACGAGCCTTACGTCTGACTGATCTGGCTGATCAAGAGGCAATTTAAGGACAGCCCCCGAGAGTCCTCAGGAATTTTTTAACGTCGCAATCAGGACGACGATCACAGCCAGTGGACAGTTCAGACCCCAACCAGAAATGTTTACGGTCTGGGAGCATCTACGTAGGACTCGTCAGTCCACACACCCCTTCTACCAGCACAGCAAAGAGCCTCAATGGACAAAGCAGCATGGCCTTCATAGCCACCGCCCTCTCCTGCCAGATGCACCACCGGGAAGAATGTCGTCTCTCAAGATAGAGCGCACACGACTCCTCACCAAAGAGAGGACACTCAAGTTGGACTCACTTCCTCACAGTAAAAAGAGATTGAGAGGGTAGATAAGGAATGGGAACAACGTACTTGGAGATAGCTGCCCCCAACCACATATTTCTCACCAATTGGGCCGACGTGCATTTCGATGACCGGTCATTAGCCTCGGTACCACCCACAACACAATGCAGTGCCACCTCAGCCAAAATGTCACGTCAGCATACTCTCATCATCATGCATACACCCGTTGTCGCCACAACTCCCACGTTGTCGCCACAGCCTTCCAGCGGTCGGCCTCTCCACCTAGGCCCCGCTAATCAACCAGCACCAAAGTATCCTTACTGCACATGAAACATCGTCAATGCACCAAGTCACAATGTCACCGGTGCCAGGTAAGCGGCGATCACCAACCAGCTCCGATACCAAATTGCAAGGAATATGAGTGTGAGCGATATACATAAAACCAAGTTGCGAAATCACACAGTTGTCCCAGTAGTTGTTGTCCTAAGCAGAGAGTACAAATGCATCAAGAAAACCATCCATATAGAGCAATACAATGAAGTAATGAGCCAATGTTCATGCCCGTAGGCCACACCAACACAGTATCCAAAGTCGCTGTGTTATGTCTAGCGCTCAGCGTCCAGCCTACTCTACCATACTATCCTACCTACAGCTGGTTCATGCAACAAGATCGCTTCAACTCACGAAGACCAATGTACATGACTGCCAACACCATCGCCGACCTCTCTTCATGTACCAGGTATGTATCTCGTCACCCTCAATCAGACCTTGATTACCCCACATAGCGCCTCCTTCCCTTAAGACCGCCTGATCATCTGTTGTACCCCCTAGCGCCCAGCAGCCCGGCTATGGCTGCCTGCACCCCGCTGCCCTGCAGCGCCCCACTACACCTCTCGCGCCCCGTCAGCGCCCTTGGCAGCGTTGCAGCATCAAGCGAGAGCGCAACAACACTTCCACATTGCCAGCGTTGGCTAGAATGCCTGGTCTGGGCTGCCTCATTCCTTTTGTGGAAGTGGCAGCCCCCTGGATGCTGCGTGTGGCCTGGCTGGAAGCTTCCAATACCTTCCGGTTGGGTCCCAGACCCTGCGCCCAGGCTCGAGACTACAGTTGAGGGCCTGGGCCCTTTGCAGTTAGGCACGGCCTGAGTCTCCTGACTTGGGCTGTTTGCTACATCTGTGCAGGGCTCCCAGGCAGGTGCGTTGGCACGACTGCTTTTGCATAGGCCGAAGGCCTACTTCCCAATGTATCGGCCCTGCTTTGTGTATGTGTGCCCAGGCGCAACTGTCAAGGCCTGGGCCTACTGTATGACGCAGCAATGTGTGCCCAGTGGGGCGATGTACATAGAAACCGAGGATCCGCAATGTGATGAAAAGGACTGAATGGACAATGCAGTGCAAGTAGAATCTCAACAAGCAATGTGCATTCTAATACATACAAAATGGTGCTGAATAGCGCAGTGGAAGACTTAGATACAAGTCCTGACCTGACCGGGACCTCATTCACATAGTATCAGATAGCGAAGCAGAATGCTAGAATGCTAATGACTAGCCCAATCAATGTTTGAACGCAGACCAAACATACATCGTATCCATCACCAGGTGTGAAGGAGCCTGGCGCTGTACACAGGAAGAAAGCGCCAGGTCCAGACATACACAGACGAAGAGGAGGGGATCAGATGAAAGGAGGGAGAGAGATGGGAATGTCGTTAATACCAAGTCTTTGTCACAAGTCCCAAATAATCCCTCGTCGTAATGTCTGAAGCCCAAAAGTCGAGTCTGGATCCAATGTCACCAAGTTCTCTCTCTCTCTCTTCTCGCATAGTCTGCAGATGCAGTGAAGTCAGATAAGGAGAGGGTGAGAGGGAGATGGTGGACTGAAAAGAGGAAGAAGAAGAACTCTCTCTTTGTCACGAGCCAGATACTAACCTGTGATGTTGGCGCTGTGCTGCAGGTACCTCGAAGACGAAGCTGGAGCAACGGCGCTGCAGGTAAGTACCTCTGGCCTCCGCCCAATCTCTCTCTCTCTCTAGTGCTATCCTAGATATGGCGCCCAGCGCTGGAGACTTCAGTTACCTACTGCGCCCAACACTGAAGACTAAAGCTAACGCTACTACTACTCCTGCAGCGCTCCCTCCAGAGTGCTGCTGCTGAATCTTGAAGACTACTACTGCCTTCTGCCTGCCCGTGAAGTGCATGCGAAGTCCCTATGTACTACCTCGGCCTGCCTCCTGACTACCTGAAGGGCGGGCCAGGCCGAGGAGGCTGCTCTTGCCAATGTCGAAGTGTGCCAGAGGCTGGCGCTGCAGCCTCTGCTGAGGCTGTCGTGGGAACAGGCTAAGAATAGCCTGTTCCCGAAACCCTGGTTCGGTGCCTGAGTTTCAGGGCCGATCGTTCTGATGAACGACCGAAAATGGCCCTTCGTTTCAGGCTAAAATGGCTATTGCCATTTTTAGTATGAAACGACACAAGGTCTGTAGGCCCCTGTTTTCAGGCTTTCGGGCTGAACAGACATGGGGCCTGGAGGCCCTGGTTTTCAGGCTTTTAGCCTGAGGGACGCAGGGCCTGGAAAATGGCCCTCGTGTGCAGGCGCAGCATGTAACCCCCCCCCCTCCTTATGAAGTCAAGCCGGGGCGAGGGTGGAGTCGACGATCTGAAGGTGGAACCTGGACGCGGGCGCGCCGTGGAGCCGAAGAGACCGGCTTGCCTTGCATCTTGCGTTCATAGCGTGCGAGAATGTCTGGCGCTGTTGCTTGAAGTTTCGCACGGGTCAACCAACGGTCAGCTCGGTGKGTGCAGTATGCAAAATGCACCAAACACTCGGTTGGCCTGTTGTCGTAGCGTCGCTGGGAGATGATGTCGCCGACCTCCTGAAAACCGTCCATAGAGGGTGGGTCTTGCGAACGTCTCCCGGGAAAATCGTCATGTTCCGCTGGCGTGTAAAGAGCCAACTTGGAGCAATGAAAGACTAGGTAGACGGGCAAGTGGGCGGGCACCTGAATCGTGAAGGAAGGTCCCTTGAGTGCGTCCCCAGCGGGCGCTACGATCGGCCAAGGCCCCATCCATTTCGGGAGGAGCTTGCGAGAGATGTCTTGTTCAAGGCTGAATTCCTCTGCGGAAACTCAAACGAGGTCACCGGCGCGGAATGGGCAAGGAAGACGCTGGCGATTGGCCTGCTGGCTCATGCGCTGCTACGTCTTGGCCATCTGGTCGTGTGCCTTGACAAGAAGCTCTTGCATCCGACGCAAGAAAAGAAGATGCTCGTCGCTCTCGGCCGCTCGTGGAGTGATTGTGTCCAACGACGAAGTGATCGGCGAGCCGTGCTCGAACTCGAAAGGCGATATCCCGATAGCCGGGTGGATGGAAGAGTTGTAGGCCAACTCGACATCCGGCAGTCGCTCAACCCAGTCCTTCTGGTCCGGTCGGATAAGAGTGCGAAGGAGAACCTATGCGGTCTGGTGCGCCCTCTCCGTTTGGCCATTGGTCTGAGGGTGGCGAGTTGAACTGGGCTTGAAAGATGAGCCCCATCGCTTGATGAGCGCCAACCAAAAATCGGACATGAACCGAGTGTCGCGGTCGCAGACAATTTCCTTGCGGTAACCCTTGGTTCAAATCCAACCGGCGTAGAGAACCTCGGCCAACTCCGGTGCCTTGGCATGATAGCGATAAGGCAAAAACATGGCGAACTTGGTGAGTCGGTCGACCACCGTGAGAATCCCATCCACTCCGGTCTTGTGCTTGGGGAACGAGCCGGTAATGTCCATGGCAATCGCTTCCCTTTGCCTCAACGGGGCCGGTAATGGTCGTAACTCGCCGTACGGACAATGGTTGCGGGATTTGCAGTGTCGTCAAACCTCGCATGACTCACAATAGCGCGTGACGTCGCCGAGAAGGTCGGGCCACCAAAATCATTCTCAAAGTCGGCCAATCGTGGGATTGACTCCAAAGTGTCCGGTGGCGGGAGCATCGTGGAACTCGCCAAGAAGCCGTGTACGCAAGTGAGTATCACTAGGTACGCAAAGAAGGTCCTTCCCCCACGTGTGGACAAGCAAGTACCCCACTTGGATCCGGTAGTGAGAAGGTGCCAGATTAGGAGAGGAGCAATTCGCGTACTTGTCGCGAAACTCGGGGTCGGCTTGGTAGCCGCGGATGAAGCTGTTCCGCAGGTCATCGTCGATCTCGAGGTTGAGTAGACCGTGGTACAATGATCCGGACGCCGTGAAAGAGCATCCGCAAAACCGTTCACTTCCCGGGAATGTGATCGGGAAAGAAGTCGAACTGGTCGATGAAAGTCATCCATCGAGCGATGGTGCTGTTGACGGTGTCTTGGGTCTTGTAGAAGACCAACGGATTGTTGTCCGTTACCCATCGGAATTGGCTTCGACCAAGGAGGAAGTGCCGCCATCGCTTGAGCGGGTGGACGAAGGCGAGGACCTCCTTCTTGTGTGCATCGTCAATGGAATGCACGACAGGCACTTTCTTGTTGAAATACTCGACTGGGTGCCAGTCCACACCATCATGTTGCTCGACGACTACACCAATGCCATAGCCTACGCATCCGTAGTGACGCGCGTAGGCAAAAGCGGGTCGTATATCCGCAAGACCTCCGCAGACAATAGCACGGCTTTGAGAGCCAAGAATGATTCCCGCGCCTCCTCTCCGAAGTCAAACGGTCGATTTTCTCATTGAAGCTTGGTCAAGCGGGCCGCGATCTTCGAGTAGCCTTTGATAAATCGTTGGTAGTAGCCGGTGAGGCCAAGAAACGAACGAACATCCGTAACGTTCCGAGGCTCTGACCACTCTTGGATGGCTTGAATCTTGTCCGATAGCGGACTGATGCCCTCCGGTGTGACAAAATGGCCCAAGTATTCCAGCTCTTGCCGGACAAATTCGCACTTGTCGCGGTTGGCCTTGTACTTGGCGCGGCGGAGCGTCTCCAACTCTCGTCGAAGATGCCCAAGATGATCCTCCAATGACAGGCTATAGACGAGAATATCGTCTAAGTAGACCAGCACGAACCGGTCCAACATTGCACGGAACTCATTGGTCATTGCCGCTTGAAAGGTCGTCGGGGCGTTGGTGAGGCCAAAAGGCATGACCACCCACTCAAAATGCGCGTACTGCGTCTTGAACGTGGATTTGTAGCGATCGTTCGGTCGGATCGAGATTTGATGATATCCTGAGTTCAAATCCAACTTAGAAAAATACTTTGCGCCGCCCAATCGCTCAAGAAGATCGTCGATGCGAGGAAGAGGCCCCGCATTCTTGACGGTTTGCGCGTTGAGCTTGCGGTATTCGATACACAATCGTAGATCCTTATTCTTCTTCCGAACGAAGAGAACCGGTGCTCCATATGGGGAGCTACTAGGGCGGATCCAGCCCCTGGCCAACAAGTCGTCGAATTGTGCGCGGAGGACCTCAAGCTCCTCCTCGCTCATCCGATAGATGCAACCTTTCAGCGGCACGACACCGTCCTCAAGAATGATCTCGTGAGAGATTGGCCGATCCGGCACCACACCGGTAGGTGACTCGAAGATATCGGCGAACTCAGCAACCTCACCACCCGGGGGTCCGAAGACAAGTCCGTGGGTGAAGAGCCGGTTACCACGACGGTCCGTAGAGCTGCTCGTAAGGGCAAGTCGCCCGGAATGATTTGGCCATCACCACTTGGCACCGAATCGAAGGGTGCGGTAGAGGAATAGTACATGCCACTTTAGCGCCGAAGGCGTCACGAACGCTAAGAGTCCGCCGGTGGAAGTTGACCGTGTGATCCGCACTTGCAAGACAAGGCACTCCCAGAATGATGTCGAAGTCCGTGTCGAGAATGGCGAACGTCACCGGTTCGCATGCATGAGGTGCGAAGTACACCGGTACGGCTTCGATGTAACGGTTGAGAAGTTGCTGCGTCTTTCCATCTGCCAACTTGATCGCTGTCGGGTTTGCCTTCCTCCGAACTAATGTGCCAAGGCCAGCCCTTTGCATAAAGGATTGGCTCATGAAATTGCGAGACGCGCCACTATCTAACAAAGCGCTGCAGGACGCTTGCCCAACTTGAATGCGGACATACATGAGCGGTGCGTTGTTGTCATCGTATCGCTGCGTGCGAAACTCGCGGGCCACCTTGGTAGTATACGCAAGGATGTCCCCCACCGCGACTTCGTCATCAGTCGGCGAAGTTGGTGGTGCATAGAAGGATAAGTACGTGTGGAGATGAGCCCATAGTGTTGCGCATTGCGGTCCCGGCAAGCGGCCTGTGGTCGGGAGAGGAAGCCATGCAAAGTCCTCGGACGTGAGCGGGTCCAATACCTCTATGTTGAACTCGCGCGCCGAATCCCGTGAAGAACCACTTGAAGACGATAAGTCGCCGCTGCCGGACGCAGAAGATGCCGCACACACGTCTTGTCCTTGAGCTTGAGTACCCAGCATAGGAACGAACCGGGCAGCATAGTCCTCAAAAGAAAATAGAAGAGGAGGACTATCGACTTCCGCATGTGCCTCAGAATGAAGGCCAGTTACTCGCAAAGAAACCGGTTCCGGAGGCGTCGAGAGTGTCGTCGAGGCACTCTCGGCGGTGCTCAGTTTCCCTGTTTGCCCTTGGCTTTCAATGGGCAGGCCAGTGTCTCATGGACATCGCTGTTGCACCAAAGGCAATAGTGGAATCTCGTGCGCGCTTTGAATGCTTGCTCGGAGATGCCATATTGGGACCATGGGGCTGGAGCTGCTGCGCCGGGTCCGGGGCTAGATGTGGTGTGTGTCTTCGTCTTGCCGCGTCCTCGGCCTCTGCCAGGGCGGCCACCTTCCCGTGCGGCTGCGAGTCTGTCCCCTTCATTGGCAGACACAGCCTCGCTGGTTTGGTCAAACGGCGTTGCCGCCGCGACCATGGCCACTCTTGGCCGATGCTGGTCCCTGCTCGGGCCTGACGCAGACGAACGCAGGTTCTTAGCCTCCTTGTTCGTAATGATAATCTGTGCGGTCTTGTCAAAGATTTCCGCCGTTGTCGTCAAGGTGTCCTCGACGTGAGTCAAGGCATTGCTTAATGTCGGACAGGACCTTGAGATGAAATACTGGCGGATGGCTTTGAACCCCATCTGGATATCTGGGACTGACGTCAGGCGTTGGTACTCGGCGATCCAGTCGGTACTCGACAGCGTGCCTTGCTCGAAGACCATGAGCTTGTCCATAGCCTTGATCTCGGGCGGCTCGACTTGGAACCGCTTATGCCACGCTGCCTTCAGATCGTCCCAGCTGATCTTGGTGTGCAAGTCGGCAGCTACCACTCCGTACTTGGACAAGAGATTGTCCAACCAAGCCTGGCACGCGCCCCCTGAGCGAGAGTATAAGTATGCGTGGTGCTTGTGTTCTTTGACGTTGTGTAGCTGCAGCGTGAGCTCGAACTTGCAGAACCATGGAATCTGATATGTCTTCATCGAGTCGCAGAAGATCTCCTGCCCGTCAAACTTTTGAGTTGTCTCTCGCGGTTCCGAACTCGAGGTATTGGCGGTAGTACAGATCCGTTGTTCCAGCTGTTGTGTTGCGGTCTGCTGTAACTGCACGCCGTCCTTGAGGGAGCCGACGTCCATCTCCAATGCTGCGAGGCGATCGAAGGTGTTGGAAGAGCTTGCATCGGGGGCGGCGACTGGTCGCTGCTCCAGCTGCTAGAGGCAGTCTTGGACTTGAGCCAGCGAGTCGTCGAGGCTGTGGATATCCTGCTGCTGTGTAATGCATGTCGCCAGAACGACCATTTCGTCAAAATGGACATTTTTTATTTTTTGAACGAAATTGAAACTGAGTTTTTTGGCCGAAAACTCGTCAAAATTTGTTGTTCCTGAGGGTCCGGCATTTGTAAGACGCTGGACCCCCTGGCTGTACATGGACCTAGCTTGAGACCAAGTACCTCCAGGCAGTCCTACCTGGAGGTGCCTGGTCTCAAGCTAGGTCCATGTACAGCCAGGGGGTCCAGCGTTTGTAAAACGCTGGACCCTCAAAAACAACAAATTTTGATGAGTTTTCGGCCAAAAAACTCGGTTTCAATTTCGTTCAAAAAATAAAAGATGTCCATTTTGACGAAATGGTCGTTCCAGGAGGTGCGTGAGATGGGAGAGGACGAGAGCGATCTTGTTTTCGCTATCCTCCAACTTGCCATTCTCGGCCTCGGTCCGCCATTCCGCTGCCATTGTAAGCAAAGTCTGCTCTCCGCTAAATATCTTCTCACGACGTTGAGTTCTTTCTTCATCGGCAGCCCTTGCTGCCGCCTCGTCATGCTGGCGCTGTTGTTCAAGTGCCAGCAGACGTGCCTGCTCGGCGTCCTCTGCCTTCTTCTTCGCTGTTGCTGTTGCGTCATCTGCCCGTTTCTTTGTTTCGGTACTCCAGGCCAGCATCCGCGCGTGATAGGCCTCGTCTGCTTCTCCGGACATCTGGTCCATGACGGCTGTTTGTGAACGCAACAGCATCGACCAGGTCGGGGGCCTGCTGACGTAGTATTCCCTGTTGACGTGGCCTGCTGACGTAGTCTGCTGACATCGCCTGCTGACGTGGCCTGCTGACGTGGCAACTTACCAACGCTGCCTCAGGGGGTACCCGGAGACAGGTAGAGAAGGTAGGGCGAGACGTGGCAACAACATCGGTGGGGAGGGTGGGTGGGAAGAATCGCTCAGATAAGGAGCCACTAATCAAAAAAGAAAAGTTTGAACTTTGCAAAAAAAAATTCGAGAAAAATTAAAATCCCGACTTTTGCAAGTTCAGTAGGTCTCCCAACCTCCYTTGAAGTGCGAAATGATCAATGAGAGAAAAAAAAATTCGACTTCATACTGCAACTGATTTATAGAACTGACTAACAGAATCCTAGAACTTCGAAAAAAAAAAACGAAAAGAAATAAAATATTCGGACTTACTCAGATGATAGTATTCACAGTTTGGAAAATAATACCTGCAGGAGGGATTTTCCGTACCGTTTTCAGAAAAAACGAATTTTGAAACAGAAGATATTCCGAATTTCTAAGTAACGGGAAATACAACAGGAAATCGAAATTTTTGAAAAGAAAGATATTACGGATTTTCAACAACGAAATTTTAAAATTTCAGAAGGAAAATGAAAATGGAAATTCCAGATGTTGCGCTATTGCAATTTTCCACAACAGAATAGCGAGAAAACAAAATCCAAGAAAAGAAAAAAAAAATTGATTTTCGGCAGTAAGGTCAAAATCGTGATTTTGGGGGCTAACTAGTGTGCTCTAATCAATCAATAAAGATTAATCAGTTACCTAGTCCCCGCACACGTGTCAGATTAGGTTGTCCTGATTCACGTGCGGCGTTCTGATACCAATTGTTACATGCCCAGTGGGGCGATGTACATAGAAACCGAGGATCTGCAATGTGATGAAAAGGACTGAATGGACAATGCAGTGCAAGTAGAATCTCAATAAGCAATGTGCATTCTAATACATACAAAATGGTGCCGAATAGCGCAGTGAAAGACTTAGATACAAGTCCTGACCTGACCGGGACTGACCTCATTCACATAGTATCAAATAGCGAAGTAGAATGCTAGAATGCTAATGACTAGTCCAATCAATGTTTGAACGCAGACCAAACATACATCGTATCCATCACCAGGTGTGAAGGAGCCTGGCGTTGTACACAGGAAGAAAGCACCAGGTCCAGACATACACAGACGAAGAGGAGGGGATCAGACGAAAGGAGGCAGAGAGATGGGAATGTCGTCAACACCAAGTCTTTGTCACAAGTCCCAAATAATCCCTCGTCGTAATGTCTAAAGCCCAAAAGTCGAGTCTGGATCCAATGTCACCAAGCTCTCTCTCTCACTCTTCTCGCATAGTCTGCAGATGCAGTGAAGTCAGATAAGGAGAGGGTGAGAGTGAGATGGTGGACTGAGAAGAGGAAGAAGACGAACTCTCTCTCTGTCACGAGCCAGATACTAACCTGTGATGTTGGCGCTGTGCTGCAGGTACCTCGAAGACGCAGCTGGAGCAACGACGCTGCAGGTAAGTATCTCTGACCTCCGCCCAATCTCTCTCTCTCTAGTGCTATCCTAGCAATGGCGCCCAGCGCTGGAGACTACAGCTACCTACTGCGCCAGCGCTGAAGACTAAGGCTAATGCTACTACTACTCCTGCAACGCGCCCTCGAGAGTGTTGTTGCCAAATCCTGAAGACTACTACTGCCTCCTGCCTGCCCGTGAAGTGCATGGTAAGTCCCTATGTACTACCTCGGCCTGCCTCTGGACTGCGTGAAGGGCGAGCCAGGCCGAGGAGGCTGCTCTTGCCAATGTCGAAGTGTGCCAGGGGCTGGCGCTGCAGCCTCTGCTGAGGCTGTCGTGGGAACAGGCTAAGAATAGCCTGTTCCCAAAACCCTGGTTCGGTGTCTGAGTTTCAGGGCCGGTCGTTCTGATGAACGACCGAAAATGGCCCTTCGTTTCAGGCTAAAAAGGCTATTGCCATTCTTAGTCTAAAACGACACAGGGTCTGTAGGCCCCTGTTTTCAGGCTTTCGGGCTGAACAGACACTAAGCCTGTAGGCCCTAGTTTTCAGGCTTTTAGCCCGAGGGACGCAGGGCCTGGAAAATGGCACTCGTGTGCATGTGCAGATCTAACACTGAGGCTCACCCGTCTTCCCAACCAACTGGCGTGTTGCGAGAGCCTGAATACCCATATATGGAAATATCGAATTTTGCCTTTGACGAATATTCAGGCGCGCCTTCACTTAGGGCGGGCACTTGGCTTGCTGGGGGCATTAGCCCAGAACAATATGATGTCTGACAGGGCCCCTTGAGGGCTTGTTCCTCACAATTTTGACCTCACTGCCGAAAATCGATTTTTTTTTCTTTTCTTGGATTTTGTTTTGCAGCTATTTCTGTTGTGGAAAACCGTAGTAGCGCAACACCTGAAATTTCAGTTTTCGTTTTTCTTCTGCAAATTCAAAATTTCGTTGTTGGAAATCCGGCATATCTGTTTTTTGAAAATTTTGATTTCCTTTTGCAAATTCCCGTTATTTGGAAATCCATAATATTTTTTTTTGTCATTTCCTAAATTCGTTTTTCAAGATTTGGAAACGGTACGGGAATTCTAGTGGTCACTAAGGCCTTCTACCCTCTTGCAGTTATCATTTTCCAAACTGCGCGTACTCTCATCTGAGTAATTCCGAATATTTTGTTATTACATCTGAGTAATTTTGAATATTTTGTTATTTTGTTTTCGGAATTCTTATCGGAAAATCATTTGCAGTCTGAAAGTTCAAAATTTTCCTCATTCGTAATTTCGCACTTCAAGGGGAATGTGGAGGCCTATTGAACTTGCAAACGAGTATTTTTTTTTCTTTTTCTCGAATTTTTTTTGCAAAGTTCAAACTTTTCTTTTTTTATTAGTGGCTTATTATCTGGGCGATTTATCCCACCCACCCCTCCCCACCTATGTTGCTGCCCCTTCAGGTCTTATCTTCTCTATGTGTCTTCGGGTACCCCCTGCGGCGGCATTGGTAAGTTGCCACATCAGCAGGTCACGTCAGCAGCAGGGAGTGCCACGTCAGCAGGCCCCTGACCTGGTTTATGCTCACGCGCTCGCAAACAGCCGCCATGGACCAGAAGTCCAGGGAAACGGACGAGGCCTATCAGGCCCGGATGCTGCTTCTAATTACCAAAGCCAAGCAGCGGTCGGATGCAGTAGCAGCCGCAACAAAGAAGAAGGTAGAGGACGTCGAGAAGGCACGTCTGTTGGCAATCGAACAGCAACACCAGCACGACGAGGCAGCAGCAAAGGCTGCTGATGAAGAATGAATTCAACGACGTGAGAAGATACTCAGCGGAGAGCGAGCTTTGCTCACAATGGCAACGGACTGGAGGGCCGAGGCCGAGAATGGCAAGATGGAAGAGAGTGAACACAAGATCGGTCTACTCCTCTCCCAACTCACGGACCTCCTGGCAACATGCATTACACAGCAGGAGGATATCCACAGCCTCGACAACGCGTTAGCTCAAGTCAGCAGCCGCCTACAGCATGTGGAGCAACGACCCGTCGCCGCCCCCGATGCCTGCTCCTCCAACACCTCCGATCGCCTCGAGCCATTGGAGATTGACCTCGGATCCCTCAAGGACGGCGTGCAGTTACCTCAAACCACAAGGCAACACTTGGAGCAGCGGATCTGTACAACCGCCACCCACTCGAGTTCAGAACCGCGCGAGACGACTCCAAGGTTCGATGATCAGGAGATCTTCAACTCGACGAAAACAGACCCGATTCCATGGTTCCGCAAGTACAAGCTCAACTTGCAGCTCCACCATGTCAGCGAACACAAGCACCACGAGTACTTATACTCCCGGTCGGGGGGTGCGTGCCAAGCATGGTGGACAATCTCTTGTCCAAGTACGGAGTGGTGGCTGCCGACTTGCACACCAAGATCAAATGGGATGATCTAAAGGTGGCGTGGCATAAACGATTCCAAGTAGAGCCGCTGGAGATCAAGGCAATGGACAAGCTGATGCCCTTTGAACAAGGCACGCTACTGAGTGTTGACTCGATTGCCGTGTACCAACGCTTGACATTCAAATGGGCTTCAAGGCTGTCAAACACTACTTCATCTCGAGGTCGTGTCCGACGTTGGGCAATGCCTTGACTCACGTCGAAGACACCCTGACGACAATGGCAGAGCTCTTCGACAAGGCTGCGCAGATCATTGTCACGAACAAGGAGGTCAAGAACCTCCACCGTTTGTCTGCGCCAGGCCTGAGCAGAGATCAACATCGGCCGAAAGTGGCCGTGGTCGCGGCGGCAACGCCAAGCGACCAAACTAGCGAGGTCGTGTCTGCCAATGAAGGGGACAAATTCGCAGCCGCCCGGGATGGTGGCCGCCCCGGCAAAGGTCGAGGACGCGGCAAGGCGAAGACAAACACCACATCTAGCCCCGGGCCCGGCGCAGCAGCTCCAGGCCCATGGTCCCACTACGGTCTCTCCGAACAGGCATACAAGGCACGCACGTCTGTGGTGTAACAGCGCTCTCTACGACACAATGGGCTGCCCGTCGAAAGGCAAAGGCAAATCGGAAAACTGAGCACCGCCGGGAGTGACTCGGCGACACTCTCGACGCCTTCAGAACCAGTCGCTTCGCGGGTGACCGCCCTTTGTTCCGAGGCACATGCGGAAGTCGGTAGTCCTCCTCTTCTATTTTCTTATGAGGACTATGCTGCCCGACTCGTTCCTACGCTGGGTACTTATAATCAAGGGTAAGATGTGTGTGCGACATCTTCTCCCTCCGGCAGCGGCGACTTATCGTCTTCAAGTGGTTCTTCACAGAATTCGGCGCGCGAGTTCAACATAGAGGTATTGGACCTGCTTAGGTCTGAGGATTTCGCATGGCTTCCTCTCCCGACCACGGGCCGCTTTTCGGGACCGCAATGCGCAGCATTATGCACTTATCTTCACACGTATCTATCCTTCTATGCAACCACCAACTTCGCCGACGGATGACGAAGCTGCGGTGGGGGACATCCTTGCGTATGTTGTCAAGGTGGCTCGTGAGTTTCGCAAGCAGCGGTACGATGACAACAACGCACTGCTCCTCTATGTCCGCATCCAAGTTGGGCAAGCGTCCTGCAACGCTTTGCTGGATAGCGGCGCGTCTCACAATTTTATGAGCCAAGTCTTTATGCAAAGGGCTGGCCTTATTAGGACTCGTGCAAGAAAAGCTATAGCTGGTTTCCAAATTAGAAAAAAAATGYCAGTAGGAGTATGTGTGACTCTTAGAGGTGAAGCAACTATACGAGTGCAAAGTGAGTGATAAACCTAATGACTGGCACACAAGTTCGGAGGAAGGCAAACCTGGCGGAGATCAAGTTGGCGGACAGAAGGACGCAGCAACTTATCGACCGCTACATCGAGGCCATACCGGTGTATTTCACACCTCATGCATGCGAAGCGGTGACATTCGACATTTTGGACACGGACTTTGACATTATTTTGGGAATGCCTTGGCTTGCAAGTGCGGATCACACGGTCAACTTCCACCGGCGGACTCTTACCGTTCGCGACGTTTTCGGCGCCGAAGTACCGTGTACTTATCCTCTTCCGCACCCTTCGATCCGATGCCAAGTGGTGACGACCAAGTCGTTCCGGGCGACTTGTGCTTACAAACAGCCCGACGAAATCGGCCTATGTTTCCTACGGACCGTCGCGGTAGCTGACTCTTCACCCACGGACTTGTCTTCAGAACCCCGTGTGGTGCGGTTGCTTGACGAGTTCGCCGACATCTTCGAGTTACCTACCGGTGTGGTGCCGGATCGGCCAATCTCTCACGAGATCATTCTTGAGGCCGGTGTCGTGTCGCCGAAATGTTGCATTTGCCACATGAGCGAGGAGAAGCTTACGGTCCTCCGCACGCAACTCGATGACTTGTTGGACAAGGGCTGGATCCGCCCTAGTAGCTCTCCATATGGAGTGTCAGTTCTCTTCGTACGTTAGAAGAACAAGGATCTACGATTGTGCATCGACTACTGCAAGCTCAACGCGCAAACCGTCAAGAATGTGGGGCCTCTTCCTCGTATCGACGATGTTCTTGAGCGATTGGGCGGCGCAAAGTACTTCTCTAAGTTGGATTTGAAGTCGGGATACCATCAGATTTCGATCCGGCCGAACGATTGCTATAAATCCGTGTTCAAGACGCGGTATGGGCATTTTGAGTGGGTGGTCATGCCTTTTGGCCTCACCAACGCCCTAGCGACCTTTCAAGGGGCAATGACCAACGAGTTTCGTGCGATGTTGGACCGGTTCGTGCTGGTCTACTTAGACAACATTCTCGTCTATAGCTGGTCATTGGAGGATCATCTTGAGCACCTTCGACGAGTGTTGGAGACGCTCCGCCGCGCCAAGTACAAAGCCAACTGCGACAAGTGTGAATTTGTCCGGCAAGAGCTGGAATACTTGGGTCATTTTGTCACACCGGAGGGCATCAGTCCGTTGTCGGACAAGATTCAAGCCATCCAAGAGTGTTCGGAGTCGTGGAACGTCGCGGATGTCCGTTCGTTCCTTGGCCTTGCCGGCTACTACCAGCGTTTCATCAAGGGATACTCGAACATCGCGGCCCTTTTGACCAAGCTTCAATGCGAGGATCGACCGTTTGACTTCGGAGAGGATGCGCGGGAATCATTTTTGGCTCTCAAAGCCGCGTTATTATTTGTGGAGGTCTTGCGAATCTACGACCCATTATTGCCAACACACGTCATTACGGATGTGTTCGGCTATGGCATTGGGGCCGTCCTCGAACAACACGATGGCGTGGAATGGCACCCGGTCAAGTACTTCAACAAGAAAGTGCCCATCGTGCACTCCATTGATGATGCACTCAGGAAGGAGCTCCTAGCCTTCGTCCACTCGCTCAAGCGGTGGTGGCAATTCCTCCTTGGTCGAAGTCAATTCCGATGGATAATGGAGAACAATCCGTTGGTCTTCTACAAGACCCAAGACATCGTCAATAGCACCATCCCCCGATGGATGGCTTTCATCGACCAGTTCGACTTCTTTCCCGATCACATTCCCGGGAAGTCTAACTGTTTTGAGGATGCTCTTTCACGGCGTCCGGATCATTGTACCGCAGTCTATTCGAACTTCGAGATCGGCGATGACCTGAGGGACAGCTTCATCCACGACTACCAAGCCAACCCCGAGTTTCACGAGGAATTGCTCCTCTCCTAATCCGGCGCCTTCTCACTATCGGATCCAAGTGGGGTACTTGCTTGTCCACACGCGGGGGAAGGACCTTCTTTGCGTACCGAGTGACTCTCACTTGCGTACACGACTTCTTGGCGAGTTCCACCACGCTCCCGCCGCCGGACACTTTGGAGTCAATAGCACGATTGGCCAACTTCGCGAGCGATTTTGGTGGCCCGGCCTTCTCGACGACGTCGCACGCTATTGCGAGTCATACCAGGTTTGTCGACACTGCAAATCCCGCAACCATCATCCGTACGGCGAGTTGCGTCCATTACCGGTCCCCTTGCGCCGAAGGGATGCAATTTCCATGGACATTACCGGACCGTTCCCCAAGCACAAGACCGGTGTGGATGAGATTCTCACGGTGGTCGACCGACTCACCAAGTTCGTCATGTTTTTGCCTTGCCGCTATCATGCCAAGGCACCGGAGTTGGCCGAAGTTCTTTACGCCGGTTGGATTCGAACCAAGGGTTACCCCAAGGAAATCGTCTGCGACCGCGATACTCGGTTCGTGTTCGATTTTTGGTTGGCGCTCATCAAGCGATGGGGCTCATCTCTCAAGCCAAGTTCGGCTCGCCACCCCCAAACCGATGGCCAAACGGAGAGGGCGCATTAGACCACACATGTTCTCCTTCACACTCTCATCCGTCCTGACCAAAAGGATTGGGTTGAGCGGCTGTCAGATGTTAGTTGGCATACAACTCGTCCATCCACCTGGCTATCTGGATGTCGCCCTTCGAGTTCGAGCACGGCTCGCTGGTCACTTCTCCGTTGGACACAATCATTCCACGAACGGTCGAGAGCGACGACCATCTTATTTTCTTGCGTCGGATGCAAGAGCTACTTGTCAAGGCACGCCACCAGATGGTTAAGACATAGCAATGCATGAACCAACAGATCAATCGCCAGCGTCTTCCTTGCCCATTCTGCGCCAACGATCTCGTTTGGGTTTCCGCCGTGGAATTCAACCTTGAACAAGATATCTCTTGCAAGCTCCTCCCGAAATGGATGGGGCCCTGGCCGATCGTGGCACCCGCTGGGAATGCACCCGAAGGACCTTCTTTCACCATTGAGGTGTCCGCCCACTTGCTCGTCTACCCGGTCTTTCATTGCTCCAAGTTGGTTCTTTACACGCCAGCGGAACATGACGAATTTCCCGGGCGACGGTCGCAAGACCCACCATCTATGGACAGTTTTCAAGAGGTCGACATTATCCTCTCCCAGCGACGCTACGGCAACAGGCCAATCGAGTACTTAGTACACTTTGCGTACTGCACTCACAAAGCTGACCGTTGGTTGACCTGTGCGGAACTCCAAGCACAACTTCTGATGTTCTCGCATTCTACGAACGCAAGATGCAAGGCAAGCCGGTATCTTCATCTCTACGACGCACACACATTCAGGTTTCACCTTCAGATTGTCAGCTTCGCCCTCGACCCGGCTTGACTTCATAAGGAAGGGGGGGTGTTACATGCTGCGCCTGCAACAGGCTGCATGGGCCATTTTCAGGCCCGTGTCGTTTTCAGCCCGAAAGCCTGAAAACAAGGGTCTACGGGCCCTGTGTCGTTTCAACCTGAAAGCCTGAAAACAAGAGCTTACAGGCCCTGTGTCGTTTCAGCCTAAATCAGGGTCTTTTCGGCCCTAAGTCTTTTCAGCCTCAAACTGAGGGCCATTTTTTGGCCCTCATAAGATTGACCTGCCCTGAAACTCAACCACCAAACCAAGGTTTTAGCACATGCCATTTTGGGTCGGTTTTCAAGATAACCCTTGGTTGAGCTTCAACGCCAGGGTCTGGCACGTTTTGGCATTGGCAAGAGCAGCCTCGTGGAGGGGCCAGCACTACATAGGACTGGCCCGCCCTGCAGGCTGCAGGTAGTTCCTAGGTACTTCCAAGGCACTTCACGTATCGTTTCGTAGGCAGGAGGTAGTCTTCAGGATTCGACAGCAGCACTCTAGAGGAGCGCTGCAGGAGTAGTAGTAGCACTAGCAGTAGTCTTCAGCGTTGGGCGCTAGTAGCGTTAGCAATAGTCTTCAGCGTTGGGCGCTAGAAGGAGCTAGAGTAGTACTGGACAGAGAGAGAGATTGGGCGGAGGCTAGGGAGACTTACCTGCAGCGCCATAGCTCCAGCTTCGTCTTCGAGGTACCTGCAACACAGCACCAACTTCACAGGTTAGTACTTGGCACTTTAGAAAGAGAGTGAGTTCTTCTTCTTCCTCTTCGCAGTCCACCGTCTCCCTCTCACCCTCTCACTATCTGACTTCACTGCATCAACAGACTACGAGAGAGAGAGAGCTTGGTGACATTTGGATCCAGACTCGATGTTGGGCTTTAGCCATTTTGACGAGGGATTATTTGGGATTTGTAACGAATACTTGGTGATGACCTATGTGGCACCCAAGGCCGCGGATCCTGCAGCTGAGGAGGCCGGCCGCGGGCCCGCGGCCGAGTTTCCGCGCAGCCATGCCACAGCCAGGCGGGGGCGCGCGTGGGAAAACGGCACCCACACACGACCCGCTGTCGAGCGCATCGGCTCCCGCCTTTTTGCAAAGGCAAGAGCCCTCCTGGCTATGTCACGCAGGAGATAAACAAAACAAAATCAGAGACTACTCAGGAACGACGCATAAGAACCCAGCGAACCGCCGAGACGCCCGCGGTTGCATCGTCCCTTTGCCGCTCTAGCCGGGTGTGCCAGTTGTACATCCTGCGGTCCCCTACGACAGGATAGGTTCCCGCGGGGCATAAGCTTTCCTTCCCTAAGGGGCTGTCACCACCCTTAGGGGCGTATCCCTACCGAGCTACTGACCCACGTGAGAAAGCTTTTAAATGCAATTGCAGAGGTAGGTCAGTCGAGGGCGTTTGCTCGCTCGCTGTAGTATAGGTACTTGCGGTTAAACGCCAAGTGGACGCAAACATCGTCCGTTCCTTAGGGTGCTGATCTCCTAAGTACGAAGCGAACGCCGGTCGACTAGGACGGTCTCAACCAAGCGTGAAACCCATCATTAATCCTAGTCCCTTGAATCACACAATCAAGCGAAAGTTTCAACAATCACACATACAGTTATATCAAAAGGAATCGACCGTAGCCGATAGGACGCACATCCAATCTAAAGTAACAACTAGGAGCATTCAAATCATGATTTGATACATTCAACAACACAAGATCAAAAACAATCCGACCGCCTCGGGTCGAATATCACAAGACAATCATACAACCGCCAACAAGAAGTTGGCTATCGACAATATTATAGATGCAACCGACAAGGTAATCGGCTGCTTTAGTTTTGACTTGATGAGACGCGATGCCAAAGTCTTTCATTCCACCTACCGCCGACTGAAGATTAGACGCACATATCTTCATTTATTTCCGATCTTTTCGGATGACAAGCTACTTTGCGAATGATTCTTGATCAGGGGCATTGCTTGAAGTGTTGCATGCCTCTTCCTTTAGGAGTGGTCTAGGGTACTCTTCCTCCTCGTCCGAGCACAAGACTCGGATCTCAGAAGTTGGGCCGTCTCCACCGAATCGGCAAAGTACCCTCCCGTAGGACGGTCCACTCTGGGTCGATAACAGGGTCGGCTCCTGAAGCAACGAACCCCCGCCCCAGATGCTTCCTAGAGATAGAAGGTGCGTCTACTGCAAGTAGCTTCCATATATTCTTCATTTCTCCTGAATTCAGGGTAGCTTTGACGAAAAGAAATCGAAGGAGATTAAGACTGAGAATCATTTGGACAGGTACATGTAGATAAGGTCACTCGGGATAGAACGGGTCAATCCTATGGGAAAGACTAAGTCCATTTGACCTCATCTGCTTTATTTCAATCGTATTTATTTTACGACATGCATTGAATTAACCTTTTCCGGAACAACAAGTCCTTATTGACATCCATGTAGGTGAGAAGTAAAGGGAAGACAATCATTTTCCCTTCTCTCAAATAGGCATAATCGATCTCCTTTGCAAGCATCCTTCTACCTACCTGCACAACATGCGCAGAAAACAAGTCCAAAAGAAAACAGTACAATCCCAGACTCATGTCAGACCTTCTCATTCACATGCATGACTCACACAACTTTCTCTACCTTTTCTTTCGAACGCTCAAAACAACAGGGTCAAGCAAAGTGTGGGTTCACACAGGGGTGAAGGGATATCTGAATCATTCAACTGACCTTGAGTGAAGTTTGAAGCGGCTCACCCAAGAAAGCCGAGTAGTAGGCCAATCAAAAGAAAATGACCACCATAGAAAAAATATGCGGCACACAACTCATAAGTTGTGGTCTTTCTCCTAAATGACGGTCCGCGCCCTCCCCCAAGTGCTCAAGTGAGCAGAGGCTGGGCCACACAAACTCAAGCGAGATAACCCTCCAGGAGGGTGTTCCCACAAATGAGTTTTCGCGTGGTCTTAATGTCCCAGGCTGCCCCAACATAGTCCCAACTGTACTTCCCCCACCAAGGATACTCTCAACCAATTGCAATTCCACGCCGCCTCCAATCACCACGTCCGCTCGGAATAGCCACACCAACATGTCGGTCCCGATCACAACAACTAGTCCCACCTACTCCCGAAATGGTCCCAGATGGACTCAATGCAATCTCAGACTATCGCCTGCCATACCAGATGGTCCAGAACTCAAAACCGTTTGCACTGCGCGCCGCAAAAAAAATAAAGGTGGCCCCCGGTAACCCGCAGGTGCCGCGAGCCCCATAATTACTTTGCCGCGTGCAACCGCTCTGCACTTTCTGCATGTCGTCGACCCACACACCACTACCGCACAGTCTCGACCACGCACCAGCATCAGTCCAACCTCCAGGCCACACTAGGATCCACCATAGCCGCCGCGCACCACAAAAATACGGCGGACCACTGCTTGCTGCTCTGTCAAAACCGGTACCATGGTTGCCCCGCAACACCACCACCTGATCACGCACCAAAACTGCCTCCACCGCGACGCAAAAACCCATAGCATCTTCCCCCGCAATAGTGTTGCCGACGTGCCGCCAGCATAACCTCAAAAAAATAACGCCGATACCACCGCCATGAAAACCCGGCAGTGCTTCCGCACCACTGCCGTTAAACCCAAATGCTGTCGCCGCAAGAATTCGGCAGCGCTCCCACGTCACAGCCAAAACAGTCCCAACTGTGCTGAAAAAATTCAGCAGCGTTCCCGCAGCACTGCCACAATTCCAAGTTGTCGCCGTGCAAAACAGGCAGAGTTTCCCCTGC